CACCACCCACCGCCAACTCTTGGGCTACTCTTTTACCAACTAATAATGGGATTGAACGTCACATTATAACGCTCCCACGGCTGAAAGAGCGAGCATGTTTGGTGGGACGGGGATTCGAACCCACAACCCGCAGATTGCGAGTCGAGCACCCAAACCATCTGGCCATGCCATGCCGGTCAAGTTTCGTATAAAACCAAAGTTCTTTACAAACACTAAATATGATAGTACACTTTTCTACTGAAACAGGGTGTTTTACCAAATTAGAAAGGGTGTTTAATTTTTCATAAATAATTCAAGTATTTTATAAACAAAGAATGAGCTCCAATTTTTGTCCAGGGCCGAAGTACGTTACAGAACCAAGTGATATAGTAAAGTAAAATTCAGTTAACATTTTTATATTGAACAAGGGTACTTAAGAACGGGGTTAAATTCTTGCACAAGTTTAAGACACAATACAAATTAATGATAAGATTTAATATTCGTACAGGACCAAGGTACTTTACAAATAAAGATTATTTTTGTTTAGAACCTTAATACTTTACAAACTGAAACTAGTTTACATATTTGTTCAGAATCAAATACTTTACGAAGTAAGGATAACTTTAAAATCATGTACAGGATCAAATACTTTACGAAGTAAGGATAACTTTAAAATCATGTACAGGATCAAGGTACTTCTCAAAGTAAAGACTACTTTTTGTATTAAATTAAGGCACTTTAAAAAGTTGTTGTTTTTAATGGAAGGCTACACAATAGGCTAGCTACGCCTTATCTAGCCGCAGACGATCGAAATCTAGATTTTAGTGTTAGTCCGGAAACTTACAGCTGACTTAAAAATCAACTAAATAGGAATTTAAAGTTTCGTATAGACCCAAGGTGTGTAAAAAAATAAGGATGAGGTTGAATTTATTTATTAGATCAAAGTATTATACATTAAGAACCTTTTTTTGTATAGAACTACCATATAAACTACTCCCCTAGTAAATTTATATGTTATAATTATAGAATACTCAAAATCAAAGTATAAGAACGAACTGTAATTAATTGAATAAAAAATATAGCGCTGAGAACTTAACACAGACATACCTGAAGAAACAACGATAAGACAATATTCAAGGAGGTAGCCCTCTTGCGCCAGTTGGACATATTTTGATCCTTAATGGAAACACGCGAGTCCCTCTCCAAGGATATAAAACCCCTGGAAGGTGTTTTTCCTGTGAATGTGTGCTTTCTGACATACGTTATTTGTCATCGACAACGGCAGTAGAATAAAAAAGTCCAATTAATTAATTTCTATACAATTGTTAGCAACCTAAGATAGGGGGCCAGCATAAATTTTGCTTTAATGTTTCATAGGAACTTTTATATCAATTACTTTATTACATTCAACTAAAGTCTAAACTAGCATGAAAGCGTGTTGTTGTCATGACCTTCACTGGAGTGTAAGCTAACAGCGCCCTCTATAAAAGTAAAATTCATATATCCATTAATCAGTTAATAAAAAGCATCACTGATCTAGACTTCTACCGTTAATATTTCATCAATAGAAATATATATTTTTTTATCATTAATTTAAGTCTAAAACTTTCGATAGGACGTTTTCTGATATATTAAAATAACTAGTTGGGTATACCACCATAATTATCTGTTGACATATCTGCGTTACTATGGTAACCAACTTCAGAAGGAGAACGTGATTCACTTGAATATTGCAGTACGTTTGCATAAATCAAACTGTTATACGAATTCTGGCTTTGCCGGAGATAAATCCACTCACACGAAGCCAAACCCGAGAAAACTGTGGCATTGATAAATTTCATGAAAACCCGGCTGTAAATAAAAAGACATACTGGTAGAATGTTCACGTACTGTCCAGTGTCGTTAGTCTGATCCTGTTTTTACTTGTCAGGTACTTAAACACCTATCTGTTATATTGGTTAATCATCTAGTTCGTAAATTGAATCATATTATACTTCGCTTTCTTCCTATTTTCAAAATCTATGTAAACGTTTTGTGTTTATGCAATATATAATATAATACCATAATTATGTAGCATTATTACAACATAATATTCACCTAGTTAGGCATTTGGATCGTTCATTGAAAGTGCAAATGAACTATATATATATATACCGCGTTTTCTACTTTAAATCGAAAACAGGAAGTCAAACGGGTAATCGAAGACTTCATCGATCAGGCGCGTTCTCGTTTTAAAAATGTTTTATTTTCGGATTTTCCGAACTGTGAGATTTTACTTTACATCATACCTTCAATGATTTGGAAACACTGTTCGTGTTTCGTAGCTTTTTCAAAAGTTTGAGCTTAGTTTTTCGCTCTCCTCATCGGGCTGTTGAAACTACACATAAATATTTGTTTATGTAGATTTTTTGGTTAACTAAATTTTTTGGAAAGACGATATCTTGGAAGAAGCATTTTTTCTGTATGAATCTTTTTTTTTGTCTATAGTCAGGTTATTTTCTTCCCTTCTGTTTTTTTCTTTTTTTTCTGCAACAAAGATTAAAAGTTCATTTGCCACAAAAACTAAGTATCAAGATTTTATAATCTTTCTAATTTCCTTTCGAACGTTTATGTTGTTTAAACAAGGAAAACCAATAAAATCGCCTCATACGAGTACCACTGGTACCATATCAACCAAACAAAAAACAAAAACAAAAAACCTGCTATTATCTTTGTTGTCTTTCACTACGTAAAAACCTGGGAAAGTAACAAGATAATCTGAAAAAATCATCTACAAAACACATAGCAGTAAGTCACTTCTTTCTTTTTTTTTTAAATAAAATGTGTTCCATGGATTAAAATTGTGAACTAGTTTTAAGTGTGTGTTAGGCCACTAGAAGAACAACCTGAACATTGCACCTTTCATGGCACCACTATAGTTTATGATGTGTATGCATGTTTCATCTACACCACGATTGATCAAACATATTACCGTGACAATAGCACTAGCTTTAGACAAATACCAAAACTAAGAACTTATAAACCAAACTTGTGTAAACCTTTTAATACTAATTAGGCCTGGCATGGCCAGGTGGTTAGAGCGCTCAACTCTCAATCTGAGAGTCGCGGCTTCATATCCCCGTCCCACCAAACATGCTCGCCAATTCAGCTGTGGGGCGTTATAATGTGACCGTCAATCTCACTATTCGTTGGTAAAAGAATAGCCCAAGAGTTGGCGGTGGGTGGTGATGACTAACTGCTTTCCCTCTAGTCTTACACTGCTAAATTAAGGACGGCTAGCGCAGATAGCCCTCGTGTAGCTTTGCGCGAAATTCATAACAAACAAACATACAGACCATTATACTTATTAGGTTATATATAAAATGTTTGTTTACTTGTAGATAGATGAAAAATATGAAGTTGGTTTTCTTTATCAGTGAAAAAAAAAAGTCTGTTCTTGTATATATTTATCTAATTTTTATAGGTATGTAGCATAGATGCACATAATCTGTAGCACTTGTAGGGTCAGTTATGAGTGCAAGAAAGGGTGCTGTACCATTATTTTCAAACACCAAGCCACTGTTCTCAGACTATGTTACAGCTAATGGCCCCCAGAACTCTGAGGCATGAGATTCTTCAGACTTTACATATTACAAAGATTGGATGGCACCGAATAGTTACAAGCACATATGCTAACATTCGACAGTAGTTCTATTTACCACACTTAAGTCGAGATGTTTGGCAATAGTGTGAGTACTGTGGCATTTGTTGCCAAGAGAAAGAGTCAGCCAAAAGATGGTAAACTCCAGCAGAGAAATGTTGGAGCTCCTGGATGTCATCCATCGGCTTCTGGAAACTGGGCAAGGTCATTGATACACACTTGTTGCCATCAACTAATTCATGATTTGAATCATGAGTTATCCATTTCTGGATATTTTATTACATTTCGTAGCACTGTATGCCATGGTTTGGACCAACAAAAGATATTCATATTGATCAAGAAGCTAATTTCAGCAGCAGCCAACCATTCTCTGAATTGTGAAAGGTTTTAGATGTGGCGAATATTCACACTTCTTCACCTCTAGAGTGATGGTTTAGCAAGATGTGTAATATAAACAGGGAGGGAAAGGTGAGGTATCAAAATATACCAGGCGTTATCTTTATATATATATATATATATATGGTTCAGCAGAATGTGTTATATAAACAGGGAGAGAAAGGTGAGGTATAAAAATATACCATGCGTTATCTTTATATATATATATATAGTAATTTGTCAACATTTTTTCAATTGCAGGTTTTCGTGCAGTTTTCACCTAATGTATGGTCAAGAAAGTCATTAAGTTGGTTTCATTCTAGTTGCCTTTTTTTCTTAGTCATTTCCTAAAGAAAGCTCCTGGTCTGCTCATGGAGAATTTGGTTGTAAAGCTGCATCTGTGTACGAAGGTCGACAGCACTGTCCTCTAATGGTACGTCAGGTGAAGCCTCAAGGTTATAAACTCCATTATGTTTGAATGAGGATGATCAGTCACGTGGTATAGGCTAGTCATTCTTGGTAAGTCTGACATTACCGATGTTCAAGCAAGTGGCGCGGCTAGACTTAAATTAACAATAACCATTAGAAGTAAGGTGAAATTTAGTCAATCTCAAACATCTTAATTGATCAACTTGAAGGAGTATTACCACCCTAATCAATCCACTTCTCTAGTAAAAGTGCCTGTCCATCGTTCAAAAGGACAGACTATATATTATTGCTATGTGCTATAAGAATAAAGATTGTATTATTGATTACATTAAGCCTATTTATTTATTTGCACAAATTCAGTCATTACAGGGAAATTTTGAATTATTTTGCTGAATATCCGTTATAAAACGGAGCTACCTTATTTATTCTTTCGAGAAATCGGTTTTAACTGAAAGTAACACATGCATACCCGGACTGAACTTCAAGGTCAGAAACCCATGTGCTCAAGTAAAGTTGTCACGAGATTATAACTACTGATCAGAGAGAAAGCAATTTGATACACGTAGCAGCACCTGCTGTCACAAGAGCTTTGTCATTAAATTCCAGTGGCGTAGGAAGCGTGGGGCGCCCCCTCTTTTTAATGTGTCCCCCCCCCCCTCAAATACAGGAAAATTACTCTCAGGAAAAGCAGGAAAAGACATAACATTTAATCCAGAACCCAAGAGCCTCCTATATCAAATAAACTTTGGTTCCCTCACTTTTAATTTACCTCATACGCCTCTAAATTCTCTATTTAGAATGCTCGTTGCATATCTTATTTAATATTTCGTAATCTTGTTATTTGATAATGATACAGCGTTTATCCTTTGTTGAAATCCACTTCACATAAAGTGATTTGATAATTTTGCAAAAGCGTTATTTATACATATAATTGTCTGATGGTTTGGATTGCTTGTGTTGAATCTCGCGCAAAGCTACACAAGGGCTATCTGCACTAGCCGTCCCTAATTTAGCAGTGAAAGACTAGAAGGAAGGTAGCTAGTCATCACGACCAACCGCCAACTCTTGGGCTACTCTTTTGCCAACAAATAGTGGGATTGACTGTCACATTATAATGCCCCCCACGGCTGAAAGGGCGAGCATGTTTGGTGGGACGGAGATTTTAAAGTCTCGACCCGCAGATTGCAAATGGAGCGCCCTAACCATCTGGCCATGCCAGGCCCATTTGTCTAATGAAGCGGTATTTAACATTTTCGTATACATAAGTGTCCAGCGATCCTGTTTAGTTTTTCGTTAATTTGCATAAGGGTTGTTCTACCATCCCCATAACCTAATCCTTTATGTATTTTAGCGATTAGGTAGCCTTTGGGGAATTGCTATTTTTTACTGCGAAGCCTTATAACAATATGACAGTTTGTTCCTGTTTAGAATTTAAAAAGTAAAGGATAAACCAAGGTTCGATGTGAATTAATAATTGTATAGAGTTACTGTCTTGTCAGAAAAATAAACCACGATAATTATCTGTTACAGAACACATTTTTCTTATAACTACTACGTGCGCTACATCACGTCAACAACCTTGGCAACAAACAAGAAAGCTCTGTGAAAGTGTCTTCTTGGAGGTATGGCGTGAGCACACTACACGTGTGGCCAGATTGTCGGGTGTGGAAAGATTGAGTAAGGGGTATTTATATCGAGGGCTTTATGAGTATCAACATAACGTTTATGCTAAGCTTATTTAATTAGTAATTTATTGCTAGTAGTAATGATTCTTCGTTAAGTTTGTTTTGCTAACTGCTATTCTATCTTTAGGCCGCAGCTTAAAGTTATGTTGGCTTTTCGATGATGAAACTCATGCAAGATAGTTGTAATGTACTTCTTAAACTAAGCTAAAATTTCCATTTGAGCTGCTTTAAACGAACAGATTTGCTTACCTTCGTACTTTCTGTATTCATACACCTGTGCTACGTCTACTACGCGTATATAATTAGGATATGCTTTTAATAAGATCAGATAGAAAGACAGATTTACCGTATTAAAACTATTTATCGTGCGTGGATGTGAGGTATTAAAAAAATATTATTTTTTATCTTTCTTTCTTTCTTTGGCATTGCTTATTCTCAAAATCGTTCAGATATTTCGATCGTGTTATTCACTTTACATGACAGCAGTTTCTCGTTAGCACGTTTCTTCATTGTTTTAGCTCAATTTGATTTTATGTTCCAATGTTTCGTATACATTAGAAAAGCTGTGGTACTGTTAGAGAATTAATAAACACCTCAGAATGTTCAAACTTTTAATTTTTTAGTCACTTACAAGAAATAACCTTATCTGTAACGCAGTATGATATAAGAAAGAATAAGTCAAGGAAGGACAGACCTGTTCAAGCAAGTGGCGTGGCTAGACTTAAGTTAACAATAATCGTTAGCAATTAAAAAAAATACAAAAATGGAAGAGCATATAAGATGTAAATGCTGTTCAAAAAGAAAATTAAGGAAAAATAGTAAAACGAGGTGTAGATGATGTTTTTATTGAAAGATAGGCATAGAAAAGTTTATGGTGAGAACTATGTTATTTGACTATTAAATTAATACGGAAGAAATGGGAAAACACCTCTGTCGTATCATGTGGTAACAGTACAGAGGAGAGGATCACGTTTTAATTATTTACCCCAAGAAAGTGAGAAAAAGTTTCATAACTGTATCACGTAACTCTGAAAAGAAATCAGAAATAAGGGGAAAGGTGTCTGCCTGTATCGTATAGCTAAAACTTAATGGAATAAAGGCGGTAAAGGAGATGCTTGCAGCTCAGAATTACTCAGTAAGAACAAAGACATAAAAAAAGATAGAGGAAAAGCCCATATTTTGTATTGTTCACCAAAAAAGAAGAATAATGGAACACGTTGAGTGAATTCCTGTAATACATAACATAATGATGACTGAATAATGTCCATAGCGATTGCCGTACACGCGTAATACGCACGTACGTAGGGTTTTTACCCAAGAAAAGTTTTCAAATCGAAATCAAAGCAACATAAAGAAAACCCCGAAAAATGTGGAAATAACAAGTTTCAAACGTGATAAATTAATAAATTTCCTTATAACTACTCTCTGATATTCCTCTTTTATAGGGATCAAACCCCCACGGGGATTACCCGTGCATATGGTAATTTATTCACTGACAATACCCCCGCGCAGCCGTATTATTTATGGTAAAAAAAAAAAAAAGAGAGAGAGTTTATTTGTTTTCGTAGAATTCACGAGGATAGAGAATTTAGATTAAAATCAATTCCTGATATCAAGCATGAAACTTACTGTAGCGAATCTAAAATCTTAAAGAAACCTGTTCTCAAAAGTTACAAAACCGACTGGTTGCGACCTATTCTTGAGACTCAAATTCCTTATTATTTTGCAGTCTTAAGCAAAATTCATACGCTATAAACTGAGAATCATTTAAAACTATTTTACTATATACAGTGTATACTGGAGGGATTTACACGTTTTGTTAAAAGTTTAGAAAACAATCTTTACACTACAGATAAATATAAAGGAATATTTTTTTATTTCAACCAACGTTTCGCCTTTGCGGATTCATCAGGGTTAATCAGTTGTGTCTATATTAACCCTGATGAGGCCCGGCATGGCCAGGTGGATAAGGCGCTCGACTCGCAATCTGAGGGTCGTAGGTTCGAATCCCCGTACCACCAAACATGCTCGCCCTTTCAGCCGTGGGGGCGTTATAATGTGACGGTCAATTCCTCTATTCGTTGGTAAAAGAGTAGCCCAAGAGTTGGCGGTGGGTGGTGATGACTAGCTGCCTTCCCTCTAGTCTTACACTGCTAAATTAGGGACGGCTAGCGCAGATA